CAGTGCTGCCATTAAAATTATAACTATGAAGATTATTCTAAGTCTTCATGAGAAATGGAACACAAAAATGCAAACAAAATATTTGCAAGTGTATCAAATGTATTGCTATGTAAAGATGCATTCCAATCATACAAGGAAATTTTTGGAAAAATAACATAAGCCTGTTATTACTGTGTATTTTGAAAGTGCTTTTAAAGTAGCTTTATAGAGAAGTTATTTTGTTCACGTAAATACAGTGCTTTATGACTAGAACTTAAGTAGAAAATACAAGTTCTGGATAGTTAGTAATATCCTACAAACTCTGTTGGAAAAAAAGTATAAAATCACATGCTCTGAAAGAAATGTATTGGGATCAACAAACGGTGGTACATAAAAACACTCTCTACCTCAGCACTGTAAAAGCCTAGGCTAGAATTTCAGTGATGATTGATAACAAAAAAACAAGTCAACATAAAATAAGTTTGAATAATTTTTTATGCGGTATATACCAAGAAAGTATGCAAATAAAAATGGGTAAAAAGCAAGTAGCAAAACATAAATCTGAATGAATTCTTATGTAGGTAGCCATAGTAATAGTTCAGTAATATTCAACGCAAAAAATAAGGTAATGTATTTGAAGGGATTCTGTCCATGCTTATTGGAAAACAAATGCTTTAAATTAGTGCACGGCGAGCTACATAAAACCAAAGAATTCTAATGGAAACCTGTTTAGCAATATCATGGTTAAATTAGAAATACAAAAAATAGAAAAATAAAATAGAAAGTATCCCAAAGATTTTAATCTTTATTCTAAAAAACCTAGAAAATAATCACATCCAAAATTAAGTAAATTATCAGTCCCAAAGCATGAAAATCTGACATCACAGGTAGACTCTGGATGACTCTCTCCACCAAAGGCATTTGCTACGTTAGGAACTGAGTCATCACCATCTTGAAATAAATTCTGAGTGAGTCTGAGGACATTACTAATTCCATGTTTAAAGAGATTGTACCTCTCGTTTTACAGCATTCTGTTAAGTTTTAATTCCCCCACACATCTGTAAAGTACTAAGAGTGTCACTTCAAAATCTTAAGCCTACACCCACCTGTACCATTTGTCCTGCATAAATCTTTTAAGTGATGTATTGATAGAGAAATAGAACTGACGGTTTGGCTTCTTGGAATTAGAGCTGGGGGACACTTCTATTGCTGGATTCTCCAGAGAGAGCCCTAATGGTGTCATAATAGGAGAACTGAGAACACGGTTTCTTTCATCAGCCTCATGTTGGTTATCCATAATATTATGCCCTTCTCATCATACAACCTTTGGTTATATTAACACACATGTTCTTAATTCTTCTGGTCATGATGCCCTCACAATTCTGCTATAGAGATTATTTTGCTGCTCTTGTTTTCTCAAAGTCTTTATTTTCTTGGTGGTAGGCCAGGACAATGTCCCATGGTGATATTTCGTGGTCTATAAAATTAAGCTTTTAATGTTATAGCAATGTCTCTGTTGCTTTTGACTCACTGGTTACAGCAGTAAGAAATTTAAAACTGAAAGTGAAGGGGGAGACTGCAAATTCTTCACCTGATTGTGTGAGTTATGCCTTGTTACTTATGGTAAGAAACTATGGTGTGTATGGCTGTGAAATTTCTATCTACTCCGTGATATTTGCTGCCATTCTCTGCTGCTGGGAAGTACTATCTTCTGAGCTCTCTGGTTGCCCAGTAGTGTAAGTGCCTGACATTAAGTTTTTGATTGCTGAGGCATCCATTTCAAAAGACATCCATCCTGAGTAAACATATTGCCAGCTGTGTGACACAGCAACTAGCAAAACAACCAGATAAGGATTTAGACTGCCCCTTCCCCCAACGAAGTTCCCTCTTTCAGAAAGCCCTGGGTAACCTAGATAACTGGCCCACTGAGTGGCCCCATTTCTTCCTTATCATACCCTAATTCCCACTCTTATTCTTTAAATTAACCAATAATGAGTGAACCCACAAAACCCTAGACACTCCACCCTTGGATCCTAATAAAGGCAGAGAGGCCCAGGTTCATGCCTTTCCCCCATTCCCTCTCAAGCTCACTGTGTACCTATTGGGTTTGCTGGCTACCCTCCAGGACATTTGAGTAACAAATCTTGTTTCTCAAAGTCCCCTGATGGTTTTGCTGCAGTGTGTCCTGCAATTATAACAAGGGCTAGTCCAGCAACACTGGTCCCTATGGGGGAAATATGTGTTAGGGCTCACTATGAATAATAAGGGCCAGGTAAGTGTCTCAGGTACTCAGAGCTGATAAGATCACTATCATTAAATTAAGGTCAACACAACAGATCTGTTGTTACACTCCGCTGCTGGGAAGTAGTATCTTCACTTGTATCTAGTTGCTCAAGTCAGTTAAATGCAAATAATCTTTTTCTTTTGTCTTTGTTAATACTACTTATTGCATCTTTGTTTTCTTTTGTATTAATTTACATTTTTACAAAGTTACGGAAAAAGTCCCAAGTGCAGTACAAATAACTATTTTCCTAAATTATTTGATGGTAAATTGGGAACAAGATGTTCCAACACCCTCAGAATACTTAAAAGTATTTCCTACAACAGGGATATTCTCTTACACAATCATAATACAACCATCAAAATCCGGAAATTAACACCGGTACTTTACTACTGTCTAATCCTGGACTCCACTGCAGGTTCACCAGTGTCTAAATAATGTCCTTTATAGCAAAAGGGTCCAGTCAGAACCCTGTGTTGTATTTAGGTATCATGACTTTTTAGTCTCCTTCAAAATGAAACTCTTTCCTTAATTCTTATAATTTTGAAGATTTCACACTATTTTTTAGAATATCCCTCAATTTGGGATTGTCTGCTGTTTCCTCATAATTAAATTCAGATTATGGAATTTTGGCTGAGTAACACAGAAGTGATACTGTCATACTATCATGTGGCACATAACTGACTTGTCCTGTTACTGATGATATTCACTTTGACCAGCTGCCAGTCTTCTCCACAGTCAAGTTACTTATTTCTGCTCTGTAATTAATAAGCATGTTGTAGGGAGGTATTCTGAAACAATTCGCATTATTCGCAGTAGCTATGTTCTACAAAGTTGCCATGAACGCTGAGTTAGTGAATATTAAAACACTGCTCCTAGGGGGAATACAGGGCTAGGTTCCTGTGAGCCTTTGGTCACAACATTTTCATTAACTGATCAACATATAACCTTGTTTCACATGTGTTTAACAACACCTTATATATATAATTATTGATTCAATATTGAACTCCCGGCCAACAGTGCTGTAACTCAAGGCTGAATGAAGCTTATCTAACACATCTATTTTCTCCAGAAGGCACATCATAGCTTTCTTGCACTTAGGAACACTACACAACATTTCAGTACTACCCTTAAGGGTCATTTTAAATAGTGAAATCACCAACAAATGGCAAAAAAATGCAAAAAAACATGGCTTTAAACAGACTGTAAAAAAGACACACTGTATTTATTATTTATTATACATTTCTATATCTTCCTATATGTTGAAAACCATGAGTTCACACCAGTATCTCCTATTCTAAAACACCACAGGGTGCACTCTAATTTTCTTTTTCACACTTGTAATTTCCATTCCAGGTAACACAAAACCTAGCTCCCATTATCCTTAATATTGTCTACTTTCCTAGATCAACGCTCTGCAAGTAACCAATCTTCCGTTGCTGTCCTCTTCTCTGCACCCACCCCAGAGATATGCTCCTCACCCTGCTCAGTTCTGACATCCTGTGCCAGACCAGCCCTTGGCGAGAATGCCCTTTTTACCACATCTGGGCTGCCAGAGACCACGCCACACCACGGCCTCCTCCACAGGTGCAGCCTACATACCCGCCCTGTGGCTCCCTACTTCTGTGCGGATGGCTGTATCGTTGGAACACCTTCTAATGTCTTTTGAACTGAGTTTCAGAAGGGTTGAAAAAGAAGGGGAAGGACAATGCAAACAGTTGGCAGCTGAGTTTTCCTCAGTATTTAAAAGAAAAAAACCCAGAAATCATATGGGCAATTTAGATCCTTAAACTGGGCCAATAATTTAAAAAAATTTAAGAAATCAAATACGTTGTGGCAGAAGTATGGTGTGTAAATATCCTTCAACTTTTAAGCAAATCCATTATTTTATATTCTTGATAATTTTCTTCATTCTGCTTATTTTCAGTACTCACTGTTTTATATTATGAGGAACACAATTTTTGTGCTCAGTGGAGTAATAATCACAGCAACTGATTGTACATGCATTTGCTAGTCACCTTTTCAAACCTTCTGTTTGTACTAGAATCTAGGCAGCTTTTGGCAAGATGGTGGAAATGTGCCTTCCTGAACAGCAAAGACAGGGATGGCTTTGTCAGGATTGTAGGTAGACAGGTAACTTTATGGTTCCTAAAATTTTTCTTCCATGTTATGTTTCTTGTAAAATAAATAAATAAACATATGTATGTATGTATGTCATGAATGCAAATGAGATCTTAGGTTTTCTCTCCACTAGGAAAAAAGCCATTAAGATGATTTCTTTCATGCCATCAGGAATAGGTTACTCTTTCTCCACATTTACATTAATATCTGTGAAGAATGATTATAGCTACTCTTTCTTTTTTTTCTTTAGAGGCTCTGAAACAGGGATAACAGACACATGGCTACACTTCCTCCTTCCATACTCACTACTGTATCCAGATTGAAGTAGACCTGTAAAAGGAAATTCTGGAACCAACATCATGCATATGTACCATCATAACTCCATTTCCTGGCACATGAAGCAATGGAGAGATGAATACATGAATAAATAAGATACTGGCAAAGTGGCTTGACATGATTTCCATCTCTGTCTATGTATAGACAGCATTCCAGGTCTCATTTTTAATTAAAAAAAAAAATAAGATTCAAACCCCTCAATATTAACTCGGACTGCTCTCATTAGAAATTAAACAGACAGACTCATCACTGATTACTTCTGGCATAAAAGAGAACACACTACCTCTGCACTCGGTACACTCGAGTCCATGGAGGCACAAGAGCAAGGATCCGAGCCACCAATTCGATCAGGTCGCTAGGAGAATAACTCTTATATCTTCCTGACTTCCACAGCTCATAAAGCCCAGTTCCACGAATCACCAGAGTAGGGTAGAGTTTCAAACCATCAGGACGAAAAGCAGGGTTCTCAAAAAATTCCTGTGAATGGAGAATAGAAAATTACAACTCCATTAGTTATGTAGAGATTGATGAAGGTTCCATGGTCAAGTTTCAGTCCTGGGCCAGCTTCTCTCACATACCTACCAAGTCCTTAGACTGCCTTGATGGAACAAAATAGCAACTCATTGTTTTTACAGTCTCACTGGAGCAAAATGTGTGCATGCTGGGTTACAAAGCCCTCGTTAATCCAGCCCCTGTCTACTGCTGCAATCTCATCTCCTCACCACCTGCCTCTCTGCCTTTGCAAAGGCAATTTCCTCTGTCTGGAAAGTACATCAATTTTACTTCATCTAGCTAATCTCCAGGTCTCGGCATGAATGCCAATTCTTCAGAGAGACCTTCCTGACCTTCAAATACAAGTTGCCTCACTTAAAAAAAAAAAAAAAATTCATACTGAATTCTATATTACTGCTTTCTTAGTATCATCACACTGATAATTTATTCGATGCCCGCCTTCACCTCTAGACTGTATCCTCCTTTCATAATAGAATATGCTTAACTGTTCCAACTTTTAAAAAAGTTGTGACAGAGATCATCACTTGCCTGCAAAAACTAAAATGTTTACTATACAGCCCTTAGCAGAAAGAGTATGCCAATCCCTCTTCAGGTCAACTGGCACCATTCCTAACCTGGGATACACACTATCTGTTATCTAGACACTGAGAAATACATCTAATTTATCTACTTTGACATAGTCATTTCCTGTACTATATCATCTCAGCTGGCTTTATTTGGGATAAAGCAAGGAGACACCAGGCATTATCCTTTCCATGACTTTGCACTGCTCATTTGCTCTTACTTTAGCACAGTGCGTGATAGAGGAATGAAGGTGGACTCAGTTTCCTCTCACCCCACGTGGCATTAGTACCTAGAGAGCCAGCTGTACTACATCGTGACTATAACAATTCTTTTTATCTCGTGCTCCATTATTCTTGTAGAGCTTTCCAAAGCTTAACTTGCTTTTCAAAGAAATGTAACTACAGACTTTTCGATCTCTCTCATTGATTTCTGTCATATTCTTAAATGCTGTATTCTTTGCGCATCATTTGGTCTTAGGGATATTCTTCTGTAATTGCATGTAATTTTCCCTGTAACATTTATATATTAATGATTCATTAGGCCTTTATAAGTATTCTATAGCCACCCAAAAGAACACATATGGCAAGTCATTCTATACCTAGTCTGAATCCATAATGGAATATGGGATTTCAGAAAAGTAGTTCAAGGGCTTATATGATAAATTTAGAAGATAGCTGGGTTGGTAAGAATGATGATAGATGAAATTGGTTCTGGACTTCTGGTTAAACATGGAGAATTGAAACGTGTGTTTCCTTCCTTTCCCTCCAAAATCACTGTAATATAAGAGATGAACTTTTAAAAAAGTATAAACCCAGAAGAACAAAAAGAACATCAGAGGAAATCAGTTGGGTGTTAGAGGACAGGACCAGTGATGGTAATAAATTTTTGGAAGACAGAAAATGGATGAAGATTGGTAAATGACTTTGCAAGTAAATAAAACTGTAAACAAAGTATCTGCAAAAGTGGATACCCGTGAAAGTCCAGCTCAGTCACACTAGAGTCCCAGAAAAGCTCATGGGTCAAAAGTACCATTAACCAGGCAGGATGGAAGAAATCACAGGATTTCTTCTGTCTGAACATGGAGGGATTTATCCCTTATTCCTTTGGCCTGCCTACAGGTAGTCACCTGCCCATTTGTTCCCTGGAGAAACTGCTGGATTCTGAGATTCCAGGTACAAAGGAAGGCCTAGGTGAGGATAAAGGCTGAAGACAGAGAGATTAAGTGAAAGCCAGCACACTCACTGGTGGATTCCCTGCCTTGCTCCCTGGATACCAGCAGTCAATTTTCTGTGACCTACTCATACCAGCCACCCCCAAGCAGGAAGTTGGGAGAGTTCATCTCTGGATTAATCAAATGGCCCTAAATAAGAGTTCAAGATACTGACATTTGAGAATCCCCTAAAGAAAAGGAGAGCTGGGGCACATCTGGCTGGCTCAGTTGGAGAGCATGTGACTCTTGATCTTGGGGTTGTGAGTTCAAGCCCTATGGTTGGGTGTAGATTACTGAAAAATAAAATCTTAAAAAATATAAATAAAATAAAACCTTAAAAAAAGAAAAGGAGAGATTATATGAATATCCTTCAATGAGGTATCCTAGCAGCTAGCTACCTAGACCTTGCAATCTGTTCTTTCAGCCCCTTACTTTTATTTTTTAATTTTAATTTTTTTAAGGGGGGTTGGGTGGAGCAGAGGGAGAGGGAAAGAAAGCCTCTTAAGCAGGCTCCATGCCCAGCACGGAGCCTGACACGGGGCTTAATCTCACAACCTGAGATCATGACCTGAGACAAAATCAAGAGTTGGATGCTTAACTGACTAAGCTACCCAGGCCCCCCCGTCCCTTACTTTTAAAGTATGACCATTTGGCTAAGGATCACCAGAAACTTGGAGGAAGCCTAAAAAATAAAGGGCAGAACAAAACAAAAAGAAAAAAAAGGAACTTGGAGGAAAGATGCATTGCATAAAGGAAAATGAAACTTAAAAACCCCTATAATTCCTTCAGAGAGAGAAGATCTATTACATCTATTAAACAAGAACAAGATGCTAGAGAAAAACAACCAGAAGGTAAGAAAGAACTCTTGAAAATCAAAGCTATAACAAAAATAATAACACTTAACAGAAAAGTTGAAAGATAAACATGAGAATAGAAGAAAGCAGAAAAAAAAGGACAAATAGGTAAAAAATATAAAAAAGACGAACCTGGGAGATCCAACATTTACTTAATAGGAGTTTTAGAAAGAGAACATAGAGGGCGCCTGGGTGGCTCAGTTGGTTGAGCGACTGCCTTCGGCTCAGGTCACGATCCTGGAGTCCCTGGATCGAGTCCCGCATCGGGCTCCCTGCTCGGCGAGAAGCCTGCTTCTCCCTCTAACCCTCCCCCCTCTCATGTACTCTCTCTGTCTCTCATTCTCGCTC